CCCCCCGGCTAGGCCCTACCAGCCCCGCTGTCCCAGGGTCGGGGAGCCTTACGGGAAGGAGACCTGGCTGGAGGGAACAGGCAAAACTTTCACTATCAGCATCCCACGGCAGCTTCGGCTTGGCCCAAAGGTCACCAGGATCTGAAGCTGGAAGATCTGCACTCACACAGAACAGGGGGGAACCACTGCGTGCCTCCACCTGCATGTCTGTGCCCAGCCTTCTCTTCGGACAGGCAGACCCCCTTCAGGACCTCCACAAGGAGCCCCACCCTTCACTCCTTCCCAAGGCGTGTCATTCTGCTGGCAAATATTCCTCTGAGTCCCGTTCTTGGGCCTTTAATGCTTCTATTAGGATGCAAACAGCCCCCAAAAGAGTAACACTTGAGTCAGTCATGATGTGACTTACCATCTCAGAGTTGCAAGAGCCAGTCGCTAAGACGCAGAAGTTTTAAAAAAGGAACTTCAACCTCCTTCAGACTGCACTAGCCACTTTACCCAGAACTTTCTTTTCCTGTGTCACTGCTCTGAACACTCCTTTCTGTTTGAGGCATCATGACCTCCCAGGGCCAGGGATCCCTCTTTCTGGAATCCAGAGCCCAGCACTGAACCAGGCGGAGGCGGGAGGACCGCCAGCACGGGGCAGCAGTGCAGGTGCAGGAGGTGTCTCGGAGACGTAGCATAATGGAGGAGTCCCCGGAGGCCAAGAACAAGCAGATTTCCAGGAGGTGGCTCTGCCCATTGTATGCCCAATCCATGGATATCCCCAGGTCCCGAGTCATGCTCACCTTTTGAGCCTGCCCTTTGAGGCCCTGGGGTGGTGCCCGCAGCCAACCCTGCCTACTGATGGAGAAAGGTCCAGGGAAGTGTGGAGGGTCCTGGGCACTGGTGATGTTTATCTAAAAGGACAGAGATGCTGGAGTCCCCATCCCCAGGCCCCAGTGCCCCAAGCATCCCTGTCAAAGTCCCCAACAGCCCAGCAGGTACCTGCCCACACCCACTCTCCCATACCCCTCCCCCACTGACATCCTAGCCCGGGCCCCCTTGGCCCTGATCCTTAATCCTTTCTGTTTCTAAACCATTTACTTTGTTTTTTAAAATATATTTTTTGCATTACAAAAGTGATACAGGATTTTCATGGGGGAATTCAGAACACACAGGAGAACTTGAAAGAACTCAGTGCCTGAGAGCTTCCTGTAGGAACAGCCATGGTCACTGATGAGTAGGAGGCCTCAGTAGCTCTCTCCAGGAACATGTATCATGCAGAGACTCAGCTGTACACTAAACGGTCCCTCTGCAGGCTGTGCTTGGCCAGCTAGGGGCTGGGGCTGGTCTCCCCATGCCTCTTGCATTCTACTCCCCATTTCCCATGTGCTGGGCTTACCTGTGCTCCCTGGAGTTCCAGGCCTGGGAGTATCAAAGTGTACAGCCGGTCCCCAGGTGTGACTGTTTCCGGCACCTGAATGACTTCCCCAGCTGGCCAAAGGGGAGGTCAGGGAGGCTGTGTTCAGGCCATGCCTGCCCACCCCCTGCCTGCTGCCCCTGACCTCACCTGGGCTGACAAATCGGCCAGCACACCGGACATGGTCAGGGTCCCGCTGCACATTCACAAAGAGCAGGGTCTTGATCACTTCGTTGCCACATGTTAACTGCAGCTGGAGCTCATAGTGGTTTACCTCCAGGGCATCCAGCCGGGCTGAGCTGCTCAAGGTCAACTGTGACAGATGGGCAAGTGCCATATGGGACCCAGGCTCTTCCTCCCCCTGCACCACCTCTGGCTTTGTGAATGTAGGGTCTGCCTTGTTTCTCTCTGGTCCCCAGCTGTGCCCATGACCCTACCAGTCCCACATAGATCTCCTGCAACTTGGCCAAGCTGGGTGGGTTGAAGAAGGTGGTGGGTGGCTGCACATGGAGCAACTTCAGGGTGGGCATGGCAGAAGTGCAGTTCAAGGTGAAAGAATGAAGGATGGTGCCAGGCCCCTGGCTCTCAGAGATATTTACGAACCAGGGCAGGCAATGCAGTTCTGTGAGGAAGAGACAGTCAGGCTGGAGGGCCCTCATGCACACACAGGAGCATAGTTCTGCCCTTCTGCCACAGGGCCTGTCCATAACTTTGGACCAAGCAGCCAAAGTCCTTCCTTTTCTCCCACATCCAACCATAGGTCAGCTCATTTCACAGATTGGGAGTGAGGATTTAGCTGAGGAAGAGGCCAAGATATGAATGAGGGTTAGGGGTTCAGAACTTTACCCTTTCCTGGCTTCCCCCCAGCCCCTACCCTCCATGGTAGCTTATCTGAGAAGGCTCAGGACTCCACTCCACTGGAGTATCGAGGGGAGAACTGGGGTCCCTCCCCAACAGCTCCTCACCAGAGACAACCAGAGCAAGAAGAAGTGCCAGGGGCCTGAACAGCACCATGATGTCCTAAAGATACAGCGAGCAGAGGAGACTCTGGAAAATCAGACGTGTTTGTCAGGCCCACCTGTTGCCAGGTGAGTTGCTCAAACACACTGGGTGGGCGGGACTCCTGGGCCTCCCAGATTGCAGCCCCACCCACCCCTGCGACTGAGCTCTACGCTCCAGACAGGCATCCAAAGGCATGTAAAACCCCATTTTTTCACTGCTGCCAATGATTTTTTCCATTCATTATTACAACCCAAAGGAGATGTGAGGAGAATCATGCTTCTGATGGGGAAACTGAGACTCAGGGAAGTCTTGGTCATGCAGTCCTTGGAGACAGAGCAGGGCCCAGGACTTGCTACCCCACAGAGTCTGAACTCTAGCTGCCCACTCCCTGTTACATTATCTGCCTACAAAATCTGAGCCCAACCACTAACAAAATCTCTCAAAAGTTGTTTACCTCCATCAAGCAAAAGGAATCTTTGATGATAGAAATCAAACAGTGGTTATCTTAAGGGATATCAACTGGAGGGGGCACAAAATGTCCTCCTGGAGTGGCTGGAGATATCTTATTTCTTGATCTGGGTGACAGTTGCACAAGTGTCTACAGATTTTAATATTTATGGAGCTGTACCTTTGAGAGTTGTCGATTTGTTGTATTTATATGCCATTTCTTAAAAACTTGTCTACATTTGCTCTCTCCAGTTCTTTACCTCTCACTCTCTCTTCTAATCACTACAGTCAAGCTTGTCCCTCTTTCCATGAAAATGCTCTGGTTGGGGTCCTCAGAGATCTGCAAACTGCCAAGTTCAGCAGTTCTCTCTCCACTCTCACCTCCTCGGTACAATATAGTGCTCACTCCCCATGGCTCCTAAATGCTCACACTCTCTATTTCTTTTTTTTTTTAAGTACATTTTTAAAAATATCTTTTTTATCGATTTCAGAGAGAGGAAGGGAGAGGAAAAGAGAGATAGAAACATCAATGATGAGAGAGTCATTGATAGGCAGCCTCCTGCATGCCCCCCACTGGGGATGGAGCTGCAACCTGGGCATGTGCCCTGACCTAGAATCGAACTGTGACCTTCTGGTTCATAGGTCGATGCCCAGCCACTGAGCCAAGCTGGCCAGGGCACACTCTCTATTTCCTTCTACCTTCCTGGCAGCTCCTGCTTAGCTCCTTTGCTGGCTCTGTTTCATCTGCCCTACCTCCCCTCAGTGGGGTATTCCAGGGCTCAGCCCCAACTTCTGAACTCACCTTTGCCATCACATCTGGGCACATGGCCTTAACTACCACCCACTCGCTCTGCCTCCCAGATCCAAGCCTTCAGTACTGATCTCTCTCCCAAACTCCAGAGTCCCACACCCAGTGGCTGACCCCGCATCTCCCCTTGGATGTCTAACAGGCATCTCAAGGGTAACATGACCAAAAATGACCATTTGATTTTCCTTCCCAAACCCAGTCTTTCCTGGATCAATTCATGATAATCCCATCCAAGCAGATGTTCAGGCCAGAAACCTACGAGTCATGCTTGATGCCCTTTCTCTACCCATATTCATGCATCACCAAGGCTTGATTTTAGCTCCAAAACATACCCCAAAGTGACCCCCTTTTGTTCATCAGCCCCACCGAGGCCCAGGCCCTCCCTTCCCATGCTGGATGAGGGCAGGAACCTCCACTCTGATTACAGAGGGTTCTCCCAGAACAGCTGGGATCACCTGAACAGAAGCCAGCCCAGGTCATTCCCTGCTCAGAAGCCTCGAGTGCTCCCATCACACCAAGAACAAAGCCTGGCCACCTCCTGTCCTCTCAGGGCCCTTAACCGGCTGATTCCTCCGCCTAGAATGCCCCTCCTCTTAATCTCCCCACGGTGGCTCATCCAGATCCCCCACAGAATGCCACTTCCCAAGTTAGCCCCTCGCCCTCATTACCGGTGTCTTTCTGTCTACTGACTGGTTGGTCTGTCTCCAGTTAGTGTCCCAAACCCAGCCTGGAATCATGGCGCCCCAGGGGGCAGGCGCTGACCATTCGGGCCGGGAGCGCCGCCCTCACCCCCGGAGCCCCGTCTGGGTGGGGGCCGACGCGGGCCGCGGGAAGGGGTGCAGACGCCGCCGCAGGAATCCCCGCCACCCGCGCGCTCCCCGCTAGAGGGCGGCCCCGCAGAGCTGGGCCCGGGCGCGGGACGGAGAGGGCGGG